GCCTAAATAAAACCACTGAGGGGAGAGACTGCCATTAAAACATTGTGTTGGCTGCTGTGTTTTTTCCCCTCCTTCTAGAGCAATGCATGATGCTGTAGACATTAAATATGCTTTTGTTCTTCTTCCTTATGTACAGAAACAATCTCTAAGAAAACAAGCCTTTCTGAAGACTGAAATGAAAATAAAAAAGTTGTGGCTTTGACATTTATTGGAGGAGGCTGCTGTTTCACAGGTCTAGAGGGGCTGGGAAAAAACCCTGCCTTTCACAACTTGTGATATAGTTCATACTGATTGGAGTAGCATAATGACTGTTAATTTGTCAGCTCTCATTTGACAAGGGACCTCACACTGCAGTGTTAATTGAAATGCAAATGGGCAGGGGATGGTAGCATCCAGCTGGAACAGTGGTTTTCTGATACACTTCAATACTACCTGTAGCCAAAGGAAACACGTAGAGATTTAAAACAGATGGTGGCAGGAAGAGCTAACATGGTGTTGTTTGTAGTGAGTTACCTGCTCAGAATCACTGTCTGTAATTCACCTTGCAGAAGGCCATCAAGATAGGTCTGCTGCAGAAATTTAACACTTTTTAATAATAATCATGACAAAGGGACTTTCTTTCCTAGAGATTTGCATGGAAATGGCCTGGATTTAATTTGCTTGGTCTGAAAAAGATGATGTCTGTCTTCCCATCCATGCAAATCTCCCTCTGGATGCTCTGAGAAACCTGGAAGTGTTAAAAGTGACTATGCACTGTTGCCCCTGCTCAACATGGGTAAGTCTGGTTTTGAAACATGACTAGCTTCCAATGGTCATTATTTCCCTTCTTTTTATTCACACTGTACATGTACAGACACATATTCCCAAAGCCATTTCTCCCTGCTCTACTTCTTTATGACCATTCCAATTTTATGGTAATACAGATATTCAGTTAGTTGTTTTTTGTGGGACTTTTTTGTTGGTTTTGTGACAGAGAAATGGAAATGTTGTGCCTTGAAATGTAGCCTGCTACTTCCCAAGTTGGATTATTTGAAGGTTGCCTCTCCAATTCACATTTCACAGCTAGGAAATACCTGTCCATAAAATGAAGTGAGACCTGACAACTAATTAAATAAAAAATATCAGTAAAATATATCTGTTTCTTAGGACAAATTTAGAAAATATCGGTGTTGGTAGAGGTGGAATGTTCTTCTAGTCGTAATCTTTCCCAGCAATTTTTTTACCAGCAATTATGGAAACACACAGACACCTTTGTTTTTCTCATGGTTAGACAGTGTATCTGTCTATGTCAGGTTTGGGAACACATTCCAGTCCTGTGGTACTCTTAGTAGAGCCCTGTGGAAACCCCCAAATCCCATTGTTCAGAGCTTGCTGCAAGTTTCTGCCTCAGGTCTCTTGCAAGAGCTTGTCTACACAGAGAGATGTCATGGTACAACTGCATTGGAGGCACGTGCTAGTTCATCTCCCTGGCTGCGTCTCCCTGTACTGGTGCTGCTGTGGGATAGAATAATTTTTAACCTGAAATAATCATTCTTCTGGAGTAAAAAATCCTCTTTCTGGGATAAAGTGGCTGTTTTGGGAGCTGAGATGGAATAGCTATACTAGAAACCTTATTCCATTTCAAGTGTAGAGATGTTATTGTTCTGTGGTAGCAAGGCTGGAAATATCTCCCATGTAAACATGGCCCTGTTTCATGTTAAGTCCACTGAATTCCTTGGTATCTTTTAATAGGTCCCCTGTGATTATATCAGACGCTTTTCCAAATTGAAAGCCAATGGCTTTGCTCATCTCTCTACCTGGTTTAGATAAAGTTCCCAATAATATTTCTTCTCAAATAGATGCGGTTGTAAGAAGAGCAGGCTTAAAACAGCCTTGAAAACCACTCCATAGCCCATAGTCTAACAGTTGTTTATCTATAATAATTCTAGCACTGTGTGAAAGCATTGTTAAATACTCATTTCTATCATCTAGCACGCCGGCATGCAACAAGGTGCAAAGAAATACTACTGCAAAGTTTTGTATTCACTGCAATATGGCATTTTCAATATTTAATATGCAGTACTGATTTTATAAATTGCACTTTGTGGTACTGCCAAGCAAGAAGAAAAGACAGAATTGAGCTCTTCTTGCTGTGTGAGAGATGCTAAATCTGTCTAATTTGCAGGAAAAAAATAGACCTTAAAACCTAGATGCATAAATAATAATTTGGATGCGAGTTTGCCTTGAATTTTCTTAGAAGAATCCATTTGCTGTTCAGGCACCATATTTGTGGTGACATAACATAATTTTATATATCATATATTTACACAACAGGCACGAGTAGCCACTCTCTATTATTTACTGTGTCACTCAATGGACAAGATAAAACCGGCTTTCAATTCAAAGAAAAGAAAAAAGAAACTTGAGCTTGGATTGCTACTAACAATCACTAAATCAGACAAAATCACTGTACAAGCACAGGAAAGGAGTTACAAGGAGATGAGCGATTCTCCTGTCCTGTTATTCCACCCCAAGGAGTGACTAGTGCAAGCTGACGTGCAGGGTGGCCCAGCCCTTTCGGCGTGCACGGTCTGACTTCGGTCAAGCGATGGTGAGTCCCTCTGCCCTGTGAGCTGGGGATGGCTCTTGGGGCCAAATATGTGTGCGGTTTCACACCCGCCTCTGCCATCCCCTCTGCACACCAATCTGTTTCCTTGGGGCCTGAGGAGGGGAAGGAACAGTAGCCTGAGGCTATTTGCTCAAGGCAACCCTAGAAAATGAAGGGTGAGACACAGGCGTGCGTTAGGGACCCATTTGGAAGAGCCCCCTGAGAGGGATGCTGTCTCCACTGACTGTATGAGGAGAGCAGCCCAAAGTGAGGGACCTGTGGCAGATGGTGCTGAGCATCTGCTGCTCTTCCACGTATCTGAAATCCACATGGTCCCTCCTGTGTGCCAGAGCCAGGTTTCAGACAGGTTACCTCCTGGATGCTCCGATTTCAAGGAAGCCACGAAGGGCTAAACTTTCAAAGGCTTTTATCATGTTAAATTACTGAGAGGCCCTCCGGAGGACATCCTAAGGGTCTAGTGGTGCCATCGCCGTCATGATGGGTGCGACAGTCTCAGCCCCGCTAAGTGACGGAGTTGGGCACCTCGCTCTGCTGTTCTGAAGCACCGTGAGAGGCCTCCATCAGCGAGACCAGGGGCTCAGGACCCTTTGAAACTCTGTGCTCCTCCACTCTGAAACCCCATCTAATCTATCATGCTGGGCATCTGCAAGCCATTAGCTGCCTTGCCCTAAGCCTGTAAACGTGCAGCGCTCCCCGCTGCGAAGGAGTCCTTCCCAGGCCCAGCCAGGCACCGCCTGTTTATTAACTTTTTTCCCTTCTCTCTTTATTTTTAGAGTAAATTGGAGCTGCTGTTTAGTTTTCAAACTGATTCACTTAAGATGCAGGGGAGGGGGAAAATAGATCCATGCCTGTAATTCTGGTATTAAATACTGTTTCAAAATTAAATAAATAAGATTAGTTATGTATGTGGTATATTTAAAAAAAAAATTAAAAAAATCCTTCTTTCCTTGGCACAGTGCCATGGGCTGTGTCCCTACTTTAGGAAACACAGCAACTTTTAGCTCCTGGAATTGGGTATGTCCCATCGCACCCCTTAGGGGTTTCTCCAGATAGCCTCTCCTAGATGGCTGGATTTGAAGACCAGCAACTGCATGTTTGACAAAACAACAGAAACACCAAGTGGTGTACAAGTTGTAAAGAAAATTGGTTTGGCCTGAGACTTTGGCATCTTCCCCCACCCCAACACTGGACAAAAATTACTTAGCTTGCCAAAGCAGATAAACACATATAGAGAGACTTGTAATTTAAAATTTTACCTTTTGGTGAAGTCTTTAACAACCCTGGCTGAGTAGTTTATTTAAAAAAATTAGTTACAAACCCTACTTCTCAGGCCACTGGACTGGCAATTAATTCTTGCTTACTTGCACATTCAGGGTTTGAATCTGTGGGGAAAAAAGAAAACAACCACCCAAAAGCATGAGAAATTACTTCCTCTGGCAGAATGCCAGGATTTTCCATCTCTACAGCATTTCCCAAATTATGTATATAATTCTTGCAACATCCTGATGAGGTAGGCATTACTTCCCCACTTTACAGCTAGCAAAACTGGGCAGAGAGTCAGTCGGGAAGCCACCCTGGACATCCAGGCAGGGAAGGTCAGGACAAAAAAAGCGCTCTTTCCTCCTTTGCAGTTGCTCCTTTTGCCCCAACGGGTGGCAGTCACCTTGAGGATACTACTCCCCTCCTGCACATGAGAACAGGCAGAAGTTGATGGATATGAAAAGCCTGACTCCCAGCTCCCCAACGCAGTGGCCATCATTGAATTGATGTGCAGGTAGAGGCTGACCGAAGAAAAGCACAGTTACGATCCGTTCCTTTCTCCAAGTCGTGATCTAATCTAGAGCTGGATTAGATGACTTTCCCTGCATCACAAAGCAAGTGTGGGTTACAACTGGGAAACCATCTAAGAATTAGATACCGGGGCTACTGACCGCACACACATGCACGCACACACGTCTCTCCAGCAATGCTAGGTCAGAATAATATATACATAGCAGTCAATGAACTATAAATATGTCTGTGTTAGTATGATTCAGTGCATTGGGGGCAATGGCAGGTTCTAGAAAAACACTTAGGTTTAAATGACCATTAGGTCTTTCTACCCTCCTCATGAGTAAAATGCATGTTTGATGTTTTTTCTCAGCTTACTCGTATAATAAACCTTCATTCCATCACCAGTACTTTTGACTATAATACATAGGGTGAACTAGGGTACCTCATTACATTGGGATGTGCAATACACAATGGACAGAGCAGTCATCTGAGCTGAATAGTCTGAATACAAGTAAAAAGAGCAAGTGAGCTTAAACAGTAATATATTTCAATTTACAATATAAGCAGAACAAGTAAAAATATTGCTCCCCATCTGATCCTTTTTTTCCCCTCCACTACTGCCGTGCCTGTAAGATTGGCTTGGTAAACCGGATGCACTAAAAAATAAGAATTTTGCCTCTTGGAAGCTCATAAAATGATACTAGAAAAAGTTTTCTGACGGCTGATCCACACAGGCTGCAGTCATTAAACAATTTGAACGTGTAGAACAGAGAACCCTTTCACACAGCTGTGGAGAAATATAAAGAAATAGCCACTTCACATATCTCAATGCTGTTTCTGAAAATGAGGAAGGGAAAAAAAAAAAAGAGAAAAAAAAAAAAGGCAACATATTAAGAGTCTTTGTCACTGTCCATTGCGCCATACATATCTGCCAGCTTTTTAAACCGAGGCCCCCAGTCACTGAGGTAATCGTAGTCCTGATCTCCGTCTGTAGTCACCGACTCCAAGGAGCTGAGGGACTCGGCCACAGAACCATTACCTTCGTATGCGTAGGTTGCTAACGAGTCATACGGGGGTGCCGTTGGATCTGTATCATTTTCCTTTAACCTTTGGTTAATGAAATCTCTGACATCCGTGTTATCTCGTGCTGTTGCAGTCCGCCGTGGCATAAAAAGTGTTTCCGGCACAATGTCTCTCCGTAATTTATTATCGTCTATGGCTTCGGGATTCCTCAGCGTGCCGATATCAAATGCCTGGGTGTCCTCCTCTCCACCACCTTCATCATTATAACTGACAATGTTGTCTCTGATGTCTTCTTTGGAAATAATCAAAGGCTCTTTTTTCCGCTGCCGTCTCAGTGCTGCAAACAGCACCACTGTAACTGGAAACAAAAATAACAGGGGAAGAGAAAGGGAAAGGTTAATCGCTAACTCCATTAAAACCCAGAAGAAATGCTGTGCCTCTGCTCCAATTCAAAGTTTTAAAAGATGTTTTGCAAAACTGCAAATGTGCACGTCAGGTTTTCAGACTCTGCTTGCTCTCCCTGTGAGTACCTTGGGAGATGAAATGGCATGGATATGCACTAGAAGAAAGGAGACGTCAAGCTTGTAAGAAGATAAGTGAAGTATCTTTTTGTCAGGAGGCACATTTTTACTGAGAGTCATACAGCAATTTTGTTGCCTTGAGAACAGAACTAGTTTCATGAGAGTTGGGAAGGGAGAAATCCTTTCTCCGAAATAAGTAACATCGGGTGTTATTTACCTTGAGCCCCTGGGATGAGGTGCAACTTGTGCTATGGACATGGCTAGTACGTACTGCACTATGATGATAGGTTAGCAAAGCTCCATTTCAAGATAAGTAAATCTATCCTCCTCTGGAAAAAAGCTTGGAATATAGAGTGGATTTTCAGCCAGCACGAAGTCCAAGTTTTATTAACTTCCCTGGCCTGTTTCTACAATGTACATCACCTTAAAAAAGGACATGGCTTAAATCTTAGACTGATGAGATATGGTAATGGTATTATTTAATCTGCCAAATGCATGAGATTTCCCAAAAAGATAGTTTTATGCCTTTCATTCTAAAGTGTGTGTGTGTGTGTGTGTGTGTGTATATCTCTCTCTCATTTATTTGGATGGCAGGATCTCTTTCCGAGGCCCTGATCCAAATTGAAATATTTTTACTCAAGAATGATCCCCAGTACTGTTGGAGAAGTGGGCACAGAGGGTGGGAGGGGATATGTTCAACACATTATTTCCTTTAGAAGCTAATTTCAGATTTCTTAGCTGGATTCTACCTTAAGCTGGTAAATGACTGAATATTTACAAATAAACAGCAGCAAGGAGCCGGGATGTATTACCACTAACACTGTTGCTTTTGTAGTCTGAGGTCTGCAGTGCTCAGTATTTCAGCTTTGCCGTGCAAACTCTGAGGAAAGACACATCTTGCTGTCTTTATAGTTCTTACATAACAAAGCAAAGCAAATCAGAAAATGCTAAAACTCATTGATATGAGATTATAAGGGTTAGCTCAGTTGGTTAGAGTGTGGTGCTAATGATGCCAAGGTCACAGGTTCAATCCCTGCTCACTGCAGGGGGGTTGGGCTCGATGACCTCTCAAGGTCCCTTCCAACCCAAAGCATTCTATGATTCTATAAGGTGGTTCAAAATTATCTTTCATGTCAGCTCTGTTTCTAAAATGGTGTGTGAGTCAAAGCACAGTAACTGTTAAAGACTTTTTTTTGGCAGTCCCTTACTCATTTGTAACCCTGCTAAGGGCAATGCCAAGGATGAAGGACATCCCCAAACCAAAGTTTTAGCCCACTGAAACTTGTCTTTCTTAGCTTCCTTCAACAGAGAAAAAGATTTTTTTTTCAAATGATGGGCTCCTCTGCAGGATTGCTTAGAGCAAGACACTACCTGTAAGTGTGCTCAAGCATTTTGTGGAAGAGTCTCATACCCTTTCTCTCCATTGGCTATAGAAGGATCCCAAGAAGATAGGATAAAGTAGGAAAATGCTCTAACTCCTGCTGTGTCTTTACCACAGGAATAGTGTGAGTAAGGGAGAACATCTGTTAATGTGAGTTGAAATAAGTGATGTGGTGAAACTGAAGGAATTAGGAGGGCTGGTTCAGGTGGTGAAAGCTTCAGGCTCTCACCCTAATGATGAGGATCTACCTATGGTGTCATGTAAGGGTCCTAATCTGAGTGATGCTTCTTTGTGCGGCTGTGCAAAAATGCAGCAAAGAAAGAATTCTCTTCCTTAAAAGCATAAAGCTGTGACACTATGTGGGAGGATTGGGGAAAGGTCTATGTGAGAGAACAGATACAGCTGGGGAAAATTTTTGAGAACCTGAAAAACACAGTGTTGATTTTGAATGGGCTTCTGGAATAGCGACAGGTAGGACGATCTGAGAAAGCATAGGAACGATAGTTTTTACATGGAAGGGTTCCTGAAGTATCTCATTAACAAAACAGGTGTTACACAGAATATGCAAGGATGAGACTTTGATAATTATGTCACATCTCTGATACTTGGGTTTTCTTATTTTGTGCTGAACTTGCAGGCAAAAAAATCCATTAGAAGTTATATGTTAAAGTACATCACCTTTATTTGCATGTCAGTGTTCAGCAGTATCTGAGGCCTCCTGATAAGCCGCTAGACTTACTCAAACTGCAGATAAGCCTAGCAATTTACAGGCACTTTTTGTTGCTGCTAAACTTTAAGTTGTGGTTCAGGTCTGCCCAGAGTATTGTTTTTCACTCAGTAGTGGTTGCACAGGCAAACCCTGCAACCAGCCTGAAAATAGAAAATTATATAGCTGAGTTAATTGAAAATCTGCTTATGGTGCATGGTGGCGTGAGCAGTAATTGACATAAAGTGCTGCTTAGCACAGAGAATCAATTATTTTCGATTGACATAAAACAGGAAATCGTTTAATGTCAGATTGATATTAACGAGCACAGTTGTACTAACGAGTGCAAGACTACCTGCAGCATTAGATTTCTTTTTCTGGTAAGGAACTTGATACAAAGTGATCTCAGCCCTTAGAGGCAATGATACCATGTTTTGAAAACTGAATTTAATGGCGAATTAAGGATAAGTTTGTTATTGTGTGAATCTTTTCTGAAAATGGGATAGTGCTTATTTGGGCAAGCTATGACCATATTATTAAAGCCTGACAATCACAACAGGGTCTTTGACTCATCACTGGAGAGGGAAATTTTGTTGATAGTAAAGATCAGGGTGATTCTGCAGTGGCGATGCCCATGTCCAAGGAAGATACGAGTACGGTAGAAAAAAGTGGAATCCTGCTTTTCTCCCCTGCTTGACCCTACTGATATAAAATTGATCTGACTCCCTTCTTTCCTGGCCAGATACTAAAGGTGACTAATAACGTGTCCCTGAGAACTGCCTGTGTTGTATTGTACAGTTCTCCCCAGATGAACAGACTACGGCTAATGGCTGAGGGACCAATCACCGCTGCTGTACAAGAGGGGTGGAACCTGGGTGAGAGGAATGTGAGAGATGTTGCAAACTCTCCTTATTTTCATAAAAAATAGTTGTTGACCACCTGTAGGTGCTGTAGCCAGAGATCTGTACATCCTCCATACTCAGGTTCCAACCTCTTCATATTCATGGGTGCCTGAAAGGGAGGACCCTGCAGCTTTTAAGAGCATGCTTTAGTAGCCACCCCATTTCAGCATCCTTTTCCAGCAGAACAGAAGCACTGAGACTTGTTTCTCTTCAGTTTAGACACAGGAATTTAACTGTTTAAAACTAAGTTATCTGGCCTCCTTCTGTGGTCAACAGAAAGAGACGAACACCTGCAGAGGGTGATTAGTCTGGTCTACCTCAGGTACCAATAAGGGGGTGGGATGAAGGTGTCTCTACAGGTGCCTGCCTCTTTCCATTGACCAAAGGGTGGAGTCCAGCTGTCTCCTCTTGCTTGGACATTGCTAACTTTTAGATAACTAAGGTTAGGTAGGATGTGTTCTATACACCATATCTGTAGCAGCCCTCAGAGAGGGAAATACAATAATACAAATGCAGGATACAACAAGGATGTCTTTGCTTTGCTCTTGTCCTAGCCTTGGTATAATCACTTGTAGCAATGCAAAATAACCATGAAAGGAAGAAAATGCCTCTGAGCTACTTACTGAGTAATATAATGATACAGAGAAGAATGGCAATAAGAGCCCCAGTGCTAAGACCAGTAGGATGAATCAAGGCTTCGGCATTACAGGACAGCATCTTTCCTCGATGGTCGCAAGCACATACTCGAATAGTCACCGTTTCAGTGCTGCTCTGGATAGGGTAGTCATTGTCTGATATTACCACTGGCAAGAAGTAGGTACTTATTTCATGTCGGTTGTATCTGGTTTTTCGGGTGAAAATCCCCGCTGTGTTGTCTGGAAACACAAAGCACGCATTAGATCTTCATCTGAAGACTGAAAGCAAGGATGAGATAATAAAGAAAATTCTTCCTAGAAATTCACCTCTGTTGTCCTGTAGTGTAAAGTTTGAGCTGCTGGCTGCCTCGGGAGCTAAGGAGAATGAAAACTGATGTCCACTGTAAGAATCATCTTTATCAACAGCACTTAGTGTTTGTATCAGCTGAAACAATAAGAACAAAAATATTTTCAAAGTCAGTTGACCTTACCCTTATTTATGTACGCTAGGATTGTAAAGCAATCTTAATGTATTCATTCTTTTCTTCTGCTTTAGGGCAGTTGATGCTGCTATGGCAAGCTTAAGAAAAGTGATCCATGTGCTGCTGATGCTGTTTAGGATCACCATGCTATTGTATCCCATACCATCAGCTAGTAGCAATGAATTTCAAAGTCGGCAGGAAAATCACGTTGATGCCACTCCGGACAGGTAGGAAACATTTGCATGTGACAGGCAATAGAGGTGAAAGGTGAGACAGTCCAAGCTGACTGTATATTTATCTACCCAAATCTCGTGTCACAGGAATTGTTTGGCTGAATCTTCCAAATTATCTGCTACTTTGAACAATTTAGTAATAGGACTGGTAGAATGAGAGTTATCTGGCAGGAAATAATATCACAGACAGGACCTGTAACAGTTACAGAGCTGAAACTGTTTTTGAAGGAGACAGTGGAGGTGCCTGAATAGAGCTAGAATCACAGAATGAAAATGAATCAGGGATAACAAGGTGCAGTACAGAAAAGAACAGTGTAAAACATACTGTCACATTAGCTGCCAGAATACTAAGTGTAATCAGATACTGTGCAGCCACTGTTTAGTTTTGTTTTGCAAAACTGACAGTTTGATGCAATGTAAAGTATACCTATTGATGAGGTGATATAAGAGTAGTAGCAAAAACTCAATTAATTTGGAATATTTTCTTAGTACAAACAGACAACACACCTGTTCTGCCTTTGCATTTTCACAGACGAAGGTCTCGTAAAACATGGCAAACTCTGGAGCATTGTCATTTACATCCAAAACCTTAATGAACACTGGGACACGGCTGCTTTGTTTTGGGTTGTCTGAAATGATAAAACCAGAAAGAATAGAGATTTTATTTAGCCCAGCTACTGACTCAGTGCAGGAGAAGGGAAGGACAGACTTAGGGACTCATTGCCTCAATTCTTCTCACTCACAACACTCCATTTATATTCTGGGGAATGTGTTACGGGGTGAGTTCCACAAAATTGTGCTGTGTTATCAGTACTCTGAATCTGTGTAAGCTATACAGATAAGATTGGGTAGGAGTCCAGGATTTACAAATTCCTTTGAACACTCCAAGTACGATTATGAATATGTGTGTGATAGATAGATAGATAGATATAAATATAATACTGGAATTAAATGAAATCTAGTTATTAACCTAACTGATACAGTTTGTTGGGAACAAAGTTTCTAGAACATGTTCCCTTCCTTAACTCTGAAACAGGAAGACTGAAGAGTCATGAAGATGGGATTGGGTGGTTTTTTTCCTCTCCACCTGTTATATATAACATTCTGTCCCCTACAAATCTTGTGACACAGTTCCTTAAGCTACCATGATTACCATTATGTTATATAAATAGTAACTGCGGCTGTGATCACAGATATTTTCTAATCTGTTGTGAATTGATTTGGCTGATATTCTGGAGTTAACACTAAAATGTACCAGCTGAAGAACATAAGCACTGTATCGAATCTGCAGATCCCCATATGTAAAAATGTTTTTTTCCCTATAAGTACTGTATAGTGCCAAGAGCTTGAATTTGACAAGGATATTCCTGAGCATAAAATACTCATGAAAATATTGTCATCTTTCCAGATAAAAATGAAAACATTTGGAAATGCACCACGTTGTATAAACTGTTCCTATTCCTGTTGGACTATTGGTCCTGTTGGACCATTCCTTTTCCTGTTGGGGGGAGACAGGTTTTAGTCTTGAAGCTACACAAACTAAGGAAGAAAGGCAACAGGCAGCAACCTTGCCTAGAAGCCATGAATGGTGAAATAGGCAAGACTGTGAGGCAAAAAGTCGCATCATAACAACCACCGGCTCCTAAAAGGTATAAGACCTGACCCCAAACCAATTTGTCATCACCAATCAAAAGGAAACCAAGAGACATTGCCAGGACTTGATCTGTGTCCTTTGTGCTCCATATCACACAAAAAATGATCTAGGCCGGGTCGCCCAGACATACCCACCTCAGTGCCTGGGAGTATGTGGGTGTGGGAATGTGAGAGTGAAATCTGTGAGGGAATTGGGTGTCACTGAAAATGTTTTCATTTAAAATAAATACCTTCCCCCTCCCTTTCATGAGGGCTCACACTGAGTTTTGCTACATTAATTTCCTACCCATGTTAATATAGTTTATTAATGCATTTTAACCTATGATTCAAGTGAAAAAAATAGTGCAATAAAATATAGCAGATCTAAGACTCTGTATGCTTCTACAAGCATTCATTATAGTAGCTTGTTGAATTAGGCTTTAATAAAAGTCCTATTACTGTGTTTATCATACTTTTATAAATTTGAAAATGCCTTCTCCAAAATTGGCACTGTATATTTGTGTTACAGAGCTCAGTCATTTGCACAAAATATTGTGCTTTAAAGCTCCACAGTCCCATTGAAGTTAATATGATTCCATTAAGCATAAACCACTTTCTAATATGAACCATTGCGCTAAATTCATTCAATGTATAAAATAACACTTTATGTATAATATAGACTAGGCTGAATTCTATGCTAAAATACATCAATACAAATGTTGAATTTTTATAATAGGCAGAAATCAAAGGTACTCATTTGAAGTTGCAGGACTATTGGCAAGACTCTTTTATAAGGGCATACCTTTCTAACAAATACATTCAAATATATTGGCAAATGTGTTTATTCTCCTCTCAAGAATTACAATTGTTTTCCTTCCTGCTTTTTGAACCATGAACTAGATATTTTCATTTTATTTCTAGGTGCTTAAGATTCTCAGAATTTAAAATGATACTGTAATAAATAGAAGCTTCATAAAAACTCTGTGCTCTAGGGACATGGGCCTTTTTTCAGATTTAATGGAAATGTAAGTTGAAATATATGTATACATCTTTAATTCTTTTTCTGTCGTCTTTCAAATTATTTTTGCAAATTATTTGATGTACGTTAATTTGTTTGCAATATCCTTTAATTACTCCATCTCCAAAAAAAGATCCACAGACTCAATGAACTGCTTAAATCTATTCATCTCTATAGTGGTATGCTTCTGTTGAGCCAGCAACCAAACTGTTAAAGTTTTTTTTTTTTTTCTGAATACGGTCTCAAAGTCCTGCCAATGTTTGATTTACCTTTAAGAGTTAAGTAAAGAATATTTAAAAATACTCTGGCAATTCTCTCTGGTAAATCAGCTGTAATTCTGCAGCTGTTAATCAGTAGCCCTGTGTACTGAGTTTTATTGCTAGTTTGCCTGCTGACTATGGCAGATGTACTGACCCGGTGTTTCACCAACTATTTGGTTGCAACATTCACAGCATGATTCTCCAGGCTGCTGAGCAACTGCAGCTCATACTGGTGAAAAAGAATGTTAAACAATGGAGCTATCTATACTCACTGACAATTCTAGATAATTAAAGGTAAAACCACATCCGCATTTTCATTTTTTTCTACTGTAAAATGAAATCCAGAACACTTATCACTTAAAGGTGTTTCCCTGTATGACTATAATTGTTTTTCTTTACTTTTTTATATCAAAGGAAGCACCCATCCATCTGAATGTGCATCCTGCCTGTAACTTTACTGGATATTTCTTTTAGATTACTTCAGTGAAATATACCTGGAGTTTGATGTGACGCTATGTCACTGAGAGCAATCAGTGATTAGCTGGAATTTAGTGGAATGGGACTTTAGATAGCCTTGCTAGAAATTACTGGTTTTAGCTAGGAGCATTAAGCAGTCGTACTTTCCAGTCTAGTCTCTTGAGACTAAAATTTGTGAGGTAGCCTGGATCAGACCAAGGCTTGTTTAAACAGTAGCTGCATTTCAACCAAGAAAATTGCCTTTGGAAGGCATCTACCCCAGTTATGCCAAATTTGGTCTAGGCTCAGTGAAGCACAGCCTGGGAAGTAGCTTGCTGCAGCCTGGAAGGATTCGGACTAAAGAGGAATGATAATTAAGACAGAAGCTCATGTCAGACTCAAAAGGTTTAGTTGAGAGGGTTTGGCCCAGTAGAAGGTCCGTCCTTAGGGGAGGAGGCAAGGAACTAAATGACTATTTCATATAGATGCTAAATTGGTTTTCAGACAGTATGCAATTTTCTATACTGTGTATTATTTCAGCTCCGCAAGGAACAATGTAAGTGTGCTTCCTAAATATTCTTGCTATTCTTTCCTTTTTAGGTGTTCATTTTTCCCCTCCTCCTCTACCCAGGAGCTCAGTCTGTAGTGTACAACTCTTGACCCTAGATTACTCCTTCAAAGCCTTAACGGAAATGCAAACACCTGACTAACAATCAGCCAGAAGTCAGTGTTTGGTATGCTGAAACCACATGCCGAACATTAAAAGTGCAAACTTTCAAGAGAGGGAGAAAACTATTAAGAAACTTAATTCCTGTAGACTCTAGCCCACTCCTCTTTTACATAACCCCATCTGCTTGCCTCAACAGTATTGTTTCACGTCAGTGTTCTGTTTTAAAAAGACCTACAGAATAAAGAAAGCTGGAGCCAAGTACTCCTTAGTTACACTCTTCTCACCATTCAGCAGCTGACTGTGAGTCATATACACATACGCACAATATAAGAAAGTAGACCTTATATTGTCTCAGGTTATGTTTTAAAAAACAAAGCCATTTAACCTCTGAGTTGCACAAAGACTTTGTGATGCTCGTAGACCTGGTGGCTATATTAGATCTATCTACCATTCCACCACGCTTCACACTCATAGGCACTGTGACTCTGCAAAAGTGAATAGAATTACATTCCCTAGTATTTGAGCACGTCACGTGCTTATAGTTAATGTATTAAAATAAAGAGGACTGTTTTTAAGGCCACCTAGCATACATGTCCTTATCTAGATCCCTGGCATTTCCACTCCTAAAATCAACATGACTAGTATTATCACGAGATTACTTCTTCTGAGCAATCCTTAACTGACAGACTGATTTGTAACTATAGCTCGTAATTTCAAAGGATGTGAAAGAAGTTAAAAATGGAAACCCTTAAAACTGGTTAAGATCTGAACACCTAGCTCAGCCCAGCCACCTTAGTCTTACTTGAAAACATCCAGCCTGTGCTATATTCGGTCTGGATCAGACCAAATTCAGCCATGGAATACAGTTTGGCTTTAAACCATCTTGCTTGCTGCATGCCAATTTCAGAATCCAACAATCATGTTCAAAATTAAAAACGGCTGTTACTGATTAGAAAACACAGATTTGTTACCTTTCCTCCCTGCTCAGCTAAGTTACCTCTTCATGAACTGTGTCTCTAGTAAATACAAAACTGCAGACCACCTCTTGCAGAGTTTCTATTTCTTCATTAGTATTGAGTGGACTATCCATATAACCTGACATCTGTCCAGCTGTGCTTTTCACACGCTCAGCTAGAAGGCTAAATTCATTACATCAGGGACAGCAGTGGTATTTAGGTTTGACTTACTGATCTCTGCTGCTATTACTGTAATGTTGTGCCATAGCAGTGTTTCCCGGTCAAGGGGTTTTGAAGTAAATATCGAACCATTTCCTGAATTGATGTTGAATACTCTGTCCATATCAGTGTGTCGATCTACGGAGTACCTGCAAATACAGAGACAGGGGTTAGAAGAATGCTTTCCTTTTAATTTCTGTGTTCTTAAACCATTTTCTAAGACTAGACATCAAACAGCTAGTAAATGGGGTTGCCTTTTGTTCTCAGTGCAGGCTTCAGACTCTTTATATACTCACACAAAGAGCTAGTTCTGAGCTACTGGATAATGACACATTTGATTTAGAAGGTGGAGCATTGTCACTGAATAAATGAATTACTGTGGAATTTACATACCTCTGAGAATCATCAAAGCTTTGTTTTTAGTAAGAAATGTGAAGTCTGTGTCCTGAAAGATATGAAGTTTACTTTAAGGCTGAGTTGGCTTTCCCATTATAAAGCCCTCTTTTTATGGTTTGATAACTCAACTGTTCCAAATAATTTCTGATGTAAAATTTGACAGCTGGGGTGCGTTTCTGCCTTTCACTTCCCAGCATTTAAAAAGACTGTCCCCCAAAAACAAGTCGGCATGGAACAGAGATTCATTATTCCATAGTACATATCACATAAAAGTTTGCTGTAATTCATTAAAACTAACATGCTCAGCCCTGCTTGATGGTATCTAGATGTGAAAATGAATGCTATCAAGCTCTGGAGGAGCTCAGAATCTAAATATGGATTCAAATTTTCAATCTGACCTTTTGCTTTTTCTGCTGAACTGAATCCAACTTTAAAAGCGGAGCTCTCCACGGGAGAGGGTGCTACCACCCTGATCCAAATGCTGCGACTTGGTTTCATGTCTCATGAAGAGAAAATTCTTGCATACATTGCAGAGGTTTTGGGAGAAATACGTCTCTGATGTTGCTAAAGCAAGAATCCGATTGCATTATTCTGCTCTTGTTCCAAGCCGGAATGTGTGCTGATGTACAATCCAGGACAGAGCCTGAGGAAGCTCAGTGTGCTCCCTTGGTCTCCTTGCAGGCCATGTCGATGGAGACAAGGCAGCTACTGCTGTCCCTTGTGTCCAGACAAGGATAAAGATACGGCTGAGCTGGTATGCAGTCAGATGAAAACTGGGCCAGGAGAATGACTGGCAGAGTTTACTGCCACTACAGAATTGAGGGGAATGCAGAGGCTGTAGAAAAATTTCCGTTCCCTGCTCTGCCCAAGGAGCAGCTGCATGACACGTCCCTTATTCTGCATAGATTTCCCAGTAGCTGTGCAGTGCCTCTTAACTTCTGAGGAAGATCTTGCATGGAAGAAGGAGGAAATAGAAGAGGCCAGTTGAAACATGTGGTTCTGACAAAGGTTTAAAATGAAGTATCTTGCTAATTATCTTGTAACTGCATTTTTTTTTCTCCTTTGCAAGTAGAAAAAGGGGATGTAATATTCACAGCAAATTAGACTGGTCGTCTTATAAAATGAAAATTTTAGTGTAGCCTACCTTCCCAAACAAAACTATAGCAAGGATTAATTATTTGCACTAAATTGCTTTTCTTTTTCCACATTAAATTCCTATGGAAACAACCAATTGGGATTCAAAGATACTTGCACAAAAAGTTAACTTTTTTTGGTAGGACTTCATAGGCACACCTCGCTAGTTTTTCAGGAGTTTATTTAGTTTTTATTCATTGCTGTCACTTGACTAACAGTACTGCAATTTCAGCTGCATGAAGTCAGCCGTGGTGTCACTAAACTAGTTCCTTTATGCAGCATTGTAATGTTACCATCAGCTTGAAAAAGAGTATGTGAGAAGGTATGTAATATGTGGTGCTGACTGATGGGACAGCTCCAGCAAGCTGTGTTGTTTTGTCCAAATCTAAATAGTACATGTGAATTTGTTGACTTAGCTGAAATGTTTGATAGAAACAAGTTTATACAAACCGGTCTGACTCTCTTCTATTTTGACAAAGTAAGTATTTGATATGGTAAACATTTCATTTTAACTTTCATTCATTCAGGCTTTTATATGATATTATGTTGGTATTTTGTGAATTCAATTATTTTTCAGATATTCTGTAGCTCATTTCCATATCTTTCAGATGAAATACTTTGGTATTTCCATTTTGCAGTAAATCTAGGTTTTGCATTCCTATTTGAAATTAAATATCAGGATTTTCCATAGATTAGCTGTTCCAGCCAACTGTAATAGTGTGTTTCAGGCTCTTATTCAGCAAGATATTTAAGTAAGCAACTAGCTTTAGGCATGAGTTGTCCGTTCATTGGGTTTTTCTCTTCAATTATGCTTTCACTCATGCTTCATATTATGAATGGACTTAAAATATCTTACTGCCTTAGCACATTTTAATGCCTTGGCATATTGTAATCACTATCTTTACTTTGTAAGATTTCACAAATTCAATCTGTGGTACAGTATCCAGAAGAAATAAAAAAGAAAAAAGAAATTGTTCTGGACTTTTTCTAAGATTACCAGAGCTGTAACATTGAGGACTTCTTCTTCAAGATATTAAGAGTTTTAAAATATAAGACCTTATATAACCATATGTATATTCAGTAATTTGTACAGTGGAAAGTTAAACTCACAAAAAAACAAAAAAACAAAAAACCAAACCAACCAGAGAACAGCTTTTTAATGAAATGTTATTTTTATTTCTTCATATCCAAAAGAAAATACACACAAGGTCAATGCAGTTAAAGTATATTCTAATTATACCATTAACCCTGGTCTAGAAGGATGGTTTTAATAAGCTAGACTGTCACTTCTGTTTCTCGGTTTGTATCATCCAGTGTCTTTTGATCAAGGACTGTTAATTATGTTGATTCGGTGGTGATTCTGACTTATGGATCATAACCTAGTAAGAATTAAGCAGACAACATCAAACTCATTTTTACATTTATTTAATGAAATTACTGGTGTGTATTTGTCAGATTTCAGGACTTCATCCCTTTCAAACCCTGAGGAATTGACAAGCTAGGAAGTTAAAAGGTATCTATGCAGATTCCAGTCTCTCCTTGTACATAACAGGAAGAAGGGGAGGGTGAAAGAGAGAATCTAACACATGCAAATATGTTGTCAGTAAAATACACAAACAAAATTAAGCCTTACATTTGTTTGCAGATCATTTTCATCTGGGATACTTTAGTAAATCAAATCACAGCAGGGAGACAGTTCCAGTGACTGATGAACTTCATTATGCCTCTGAGGAGTTACTATAGCAAAAAAACTCAACTAGCAATTTAAAAAGATCTGATGTACAATACAGCAGTGCCAGTTGCAGCATTATTTTTTTCAGTATGCAGTGGGTCGTAATATTTCTGTTTAGATCAAACACAAGCAGAATGCAAAACTTTTTTTTATAACACAGCTGGACAGTGGAGTGCTCCTCAGGAGTGTATTAATGTTACTATGCATGGATGCATATTCAACTATAGCCAAACATCTATTGTTGTATTTTTGTATTAAGAAATATGTCACAGCAAAGCTTATTTATAAGGGCTGGACTGATGAGATGTAGCTCTGCCAATACACAGGTCATGAACGATTATGCACTCTTACAACCAGGGCAGATATCCGCTTCGTATTTTGCTATTGCTTCATTGTCTTCTGATGTTCAGCAGCTTGCTGTCTAATGTAACCGCAAGTCAGGAAGATTTGTGGGTCAGGAAGGAATGTGTGTGTAAATTTTTCATAATGCATTTTCATAATGATATTGTGAAGGTTTCCTTTAATGGAAGATCAAAGGGGCTTTCATCTAACAGAGTTAGGGCTCAGTTTGTTTAAAAAGAGAAATCTTCACTCGAGTAGAGGAGAAAATGGAAGGTTTTCATTGTAATATCAAGTGTCTAAAAATTTTATATCTAACCATCAAGAAAAATTGACAAGCAAGTGACAAGTCATATATATACAGTCTAATTGCATCTTCCCCGAAGCTCAGAGTGGAAATCGGATTTAGCATCTCTATTGCATGATGGAAAAAAAAAATCACCTTGTCAAAAAGATGCAGACTCAACCCATGCCCCTAAATTCTAGGAGATACCCAAGATATTAGCACTATAAAATTACATTTACTGCAAGCTAACATCTCAGTCTACTGCTCTCTGCTGATTTTCTTCACCTCTTACTGATTTTCATGTTTCTTCTTGCTGTGTTTATTTCTATTACTCTAACCTCTTCCTCATTTTTCTTTTTCTTCTCCTTTCACCTTGATTGTTGCATGCTATTAAAGTATAAAGGAGACAAATTTTCTGCTGCAGTGCATCAATTTTGACACCTCTGCTAAATTTTACTCAATAATTATCTGATACTTTAATAAGCAAAGTACCTATACTGTATTAAAGAACTGCCCTTTGAAAGATAGGTAAGTTTTAGCACACACTTTCAATTAATAGAAAAGAGCCAGTAGGCAGTACTCAACAATGAACAGCATAATCCCTATCCACTGTAAATCACTTATAATTAGGAGCTGGTGCTGGTGTGAAATACAAGTGGTTGTAGTTATCACCA